GAGAGAGAGAGAGAGAGAGAGAGAGAGAGAGAGAAGGTGAAGAGTGTGTGCGAGCGCGCACGCACGCGTGTGTACCAACGTTCGTGCCCAGGTGCGCAACTGTGACTCTCACTGGTGAACCTCACGTCATAACACGACGAACAAGGCTTCTCCATTTTTTGCTCGGATTAGGCTTACTCTTCCACGACGAGGTGTAGTACACTAATATTAGTATAAGACTTCATGCAATGACCACAAATCGTAGTACATAGATTTCGCTCAGCCTGGTAACAACAGAAGGTAGGTGGTTGTGACTTACTGGATTACCAAACAGCTGGGTGGATTTGTTTTGAACTTTCCTCGTAACTCTCGAACAAGAGCTAACTTATTGCGTCTTCTCTTCAGTTTGTGCCGCGTTGTTGTTGGCCAACGTAACCCCTCCCGATCGTCGTGTTCTGTTGTGTTTAGGTTACTCTGGCGAACTGCGTCACTCTCGTCTTCTTTCTTTCTTTCTTTTTTTTCTTTTTTTCTTTCTTTCTTTCTCTCCTTTTCTCTTTCTCTCTTTCTTTCTTTCTCTCTTTCTTTCTTTCTTTCTCTCTTTCTTTCTTTCTCTCTTTCTTTCTTTCTTTCTCACTTTTTTCTTGTTTTCTTTCTTATTTATCTTTTCTTTCTTGCTTATTTGTATGTCTACCTTTCTTTTTGTTTGTGTCTTTTTACGTATGTCTTCCTTTCTTATTTTCTTTCTTTCTGTCTGTTTGTTTGTCTTACTTATTGTCCGTGTGTTTTATTTTTATTTTTTATTGTTTCTCTTTTTTCTTTCTTTCTTTCTTTCTTTCCTTCTTTTTCCTGTCTGTCTATTCTTTAGTTTGTTACCTATCTCATTCCTTCTTTTCTTTGTTCCTTTCTACGCCCCCTTCCTTTCTCATTCATGACATTACCTGGGAGTGGGTGTCTGGAAAATCCAGGTACGTTTGGTTCATTTCTTGTCTGATTCTATGTGCACGTGAAAGGTTATTATTCGTCTCATCAACGCTGATATTTTTCGCCTTCCCGTTCATATTTTTTTATGTGCGCGCACGTGTGTGTATGTGTGTGTGTGTGTGTGTGTGTGTGTGTGTGTGTGTGTGTGTGTGTGTGTGTTTGTTTGTTAGTTAGTTAGTTAGTTAGTTAGTTAGTTAGTTAGTTAGTTTGTTTGTTTGTTAGTCTGTTTTTCGAATCAGTAACGTTACACAATCTTTGTCGCTCTGCGGGTGACTGAGGGTGCCACCGACAGGTGTTGTATAATGATCTTTTCTTAATATACTGTTTTAGTTTCCCAGTGTCTGTCTTGCTTTTTTCACCCTTGCACTAAGTTATTACATGTATTTTGTATTGTGTGTCAGTATTGTATCTTGCATTCGGTGTCAGTGTCAGTGTCAGTATTCCTTTTACTATAGTAGTGCATAATAGGGTGTCAGTGTTGTTTCTTATTGTGTTCGGTGTCATCATTGTCTACTTGTGTTGGAAGTCAGTGTTGCTACTTTTAATTAAGAGTCAGTGTTTGTCGTATTTTTTGTGAGTATGTGTTGTTTCTAGTGCTGCTTGTCAATAATATTGTTTCTTGTATTGTTTATAAGTGCTGTTTCTTGTATTGGCTTTCTGTAATGAGTAATGTTTCTGGGGTGTAAATTTCAGCATTGTTTCTTGTATTGGATGTCAATGTCAGTATTGTTTCTTGTATTGGTGAGTGGTTGGCGGGTGCTCTGGAGTGGTTTGCGTCTTCTTTCCTATGAAACATATATCTTCCTTATCTCCCCTTCTTCTTTTTTAAGTTTGTTACTCTCTTGTAACACCTCTAATCTTCGACACTTATATGACTTTTTCTTGTGAACTTTGCAAGTGCCGTAAAACTCTTACTAAAACTAACAGTAATGAGTAATGTTTCTTGTTTTGGGTGTCAATGTCAGCATTGTTTCTTGTATCGGATGTCAGTGTCAGTATTGTTTCTTCTATTTGTTTTCAGTATTGTTTCTTGTACATGTATTGGGTGTTGGTATTGTTGAATAAAATTATGTCAAATGTCCAGGAAAGTTGAAGAAAATCCCTATTATTTGATAGAATGGCTTTAAGTGATGACTTCATCTCAAAGCCGTCTACCCTTTGTAGTTGCTGGGAGTATTATTTTTGGTCGAGGTGTCTGGGGTTGACACTTGGACATGAGGTTGTTCTCTGCATTCCTAGTGTTTTTTCTGAATCTGTATCTTGTAGTTGTAGAGAGAAGAGACACACCAGCTCTGTCAACGATGAATGCTTGAACAAAGTGACCCAACTGAACGAAAATCGCTTTGAAAGAGAGCTAGCAGACATATCGCCTATTTCATTACATGCCATTCTATTCTAGATCGTGCCATTTCTTTATCTCACTCTATCCTCCCCCCCCCCCCCC